TGTCCCCCCCCCCCGCAGTTTGCTTTGATTCTTTCTCGGGTCCTTCTTCAGCCAAATTCTCTGGCGAACTTAGCACGTAGTACTCGGGGGTAATTGCCTCACATGGATCTGTTCGAACCGATGTTTTGCGTTCGTCTGGATACTGACCCAGAAGGTGATGACGAGTAAGTTGTTGGTGCCGACGCCAGGATAAGTTTGGAAAGTTCAACCTTTTCCAATTTGTTCCTCGGTGGAAGGCAGCACCACTGTTTCCGTAAGTACGGAGGTGCTACTTTCAGAAGAGGGGACGCTTTACCATCTTCAAACTTGTATGGACTTAAAGCTGACACATTGGCGTGGTAATCGGGCTCTGGTCCTGCGATGATCACGTGGACTACAGTGGCTGGAACTTCGTTCCACAAGGTGCAACCATGTCAGGAAGACCACAGGGAAGCAGTCAGACCAAGAGCGGCGGGACCAGATAATACGACCAATCGTAATGTGACGGGGTTTGGGGGTAAAGTAATACTACATTCTGCTATATGAGTCTGGAGTCAGTTGGGCATTTCCCCCAGGCAAACAGCAAGTCCATGTTCATGGAAGTAGCGATTCTGCCTTCCACGAGGAAGGACGGGTTAGAAAAAGCCAACCCTGAAAACCACATCTTCCGGTCATCCAACTTTTGACCCAGACTGCCGGCGTATTATTCAGAGAACTTTACGCCGGAATCGGAAGGCATATGAAGAAAATAAACGCCGCCGAGAAACGCAGATGAATGTAAAGCGTTACTGAATGAAGAACATGCACTGGACATGGGGCACAAAGCAGAATTAGAATGTGTTAGGTTTTGAGGCGAGGACTACGTCACAGAGACTGATGACCGAGGCGTTAGAAATCGCCAAGCACCCCCATTGCCAACAGAATAAAGGAGTTGGGACTGGCAAGTGCGTGGAGAACGGTTTCGGATCAGTCGAGCTGACACGCGTTGGTGTGCGGTTATCAGAAGGAGGAATAGTCATCATTCAAATTCCACTTGACCTCACCTACCCACTCCCCTACTAAATTGTCGCAGCACTCACAAGCCCACAAAGCCTAACGAAATCTATCAGCACGAGGTTGATCAAACATTGACGGGAGTGGTCAGGATGTCGGGGTCGGGTTCTATGTACGGACCTTCTGGTCAGTAGGTCTGGCAACTTAACCAATGAGCTATCCCGAGCTCGAGGGATACCACAGCATCGATGGAGTACCTTCTCCTTCAGTACGCGTTCTTGGACACACTCTGAAAGTCTTCTAAACACCAGTAATTTATGGTGACCTACTCCCAAAGGAGGGTGAATCATCTTCAAGATCTGGGATATGTCCGTAGAATAACATTGGAATTTGTGTACGAACGACGTCTCCAGCGACACAGGGCTTTTGTCCAGAGGTGCACCCGTAGCTTTTGCACAATCGAATACAGACTGCAAGATAGTAGGAAGGTATGTTGGCGTGACCGCCGGAGAGGCCTTCTGAAGCATGGGTCGACCTTGTCAGTCCTCCACTCAGATATGGGATTTGTTCAGTTCCGATTCTCTAGCCGTCACAAATCCAATTTTAACCCACTGGACACTAAGTTTTCATGCTTTCCTATGGCTGTCACATGGTCCGTACGTTTATTCAATAGTATTAAGTACTTACCTGGAGATGTTCAGTGGGTAGAGCGCAGAGTTACTGACCGGAAGGCTCGTGGTCCCAACCCGACCTCTGCCTCGCGACTTCCCTTGTCTGGGCTTGGGCAACCGGGCATCCCAACCCTCGTGCTTACTTCGGGTGGCACGGCAGCTAGGCACCGAAAGGGTGCTACAGCTGCACGAACTGACCAAGGATCCGTGTTCTCGTGACACTTTAACATGACGGTGTAATGCCCGCCACATATTGTTGTCGTCATTTTGTATGAGACCCGGTTGTCAGCCGGGAATCCACCAACATATGTTGGCATCTTCATCAGCTTTCCGTTATCCTATGTGAAACATAAACCACACCGTTGTTAACATAATCACGTCACGATGAAGAAAAGGTGAACTTTCCGTGGCCAAACATCGATAATCGAATACCTCCATCCTGCAAATGCCTCAGTCATGCATCGACCAGGTTTCGCAAGCACATGGTTAAGCAGAGCAAATGGTCGATTAATCGATTTGAACCTTAGTCTTGAACTTAATTTCTCGTCGTCTCAGTACAGGTATCAGTTGTAAGAACATTCTGCAAGGATTGTAAAACGTGCAATGGCTTCTTAGCTTGGCCATTTGAAAGGACGCTTCAGCCGAGGTATCTAAACTGGAAAGCATTCTCTGGAGATACTCCGTATGTTGTAAATGGTTGACCACCTTCGGGCTGTGAATGAGACAAAACTTGGTTTCAAGGTTAATGTGATAAGCGTCGATATTTTCTGTTTCGTTAGGAAGAGACTAGACCTAACTGGTGTGACTTTTCGCACCTCCACAACCCACTAAACTATACTGCGCAGTGTACATGTGTCACTCACAGGACCTCTCAGATCATGTTCGTCAGTCGGTATAGGCCTGAGTAACAAAATATCCTGATTCTCCAGGTTGGAGCTTGGGACATATGTGGCGACCTGATCTTTAAAAATGTAGGTTGCTCTTTGGCTACTTGTTTTATAAAAAACGGTGATGCACATGCCGTTCAACGCACGCCAAACAGCTGTCCTGTGATCAGGAATTTGAGCCAATAACATTGGTCAAGGATCCTAATCGTTCTTCTGCCTAAGTCTGGGCGACATTGCAGCATCCAATCACACGCACAACCATGGTACAACCGACAGTACTCTCATATCACATCGGTCATCGCATTGTATCACCAGCTAGGTCGCCTTGTTGTATACAGCAGGACGGTTAAGCGAAAACATGATGCAATTATCACCTCCCTTACATTTTCACGTATTTCCTCTTCTAACCTACTTCACCCTAATTTGAATGCACTCCCCAGAGACCCAAGCACTAGGACTGACCGCGTTCTCCGCCGTATATCGCATTCAGCTGCAAGTTTTGTACACCTGACTTCAGTAACACTCCTAGACTTTTTTAAGTCTTTTCAAACCCGTATCTTCCAGCTATAACACCCTTCCGGTGCCCAGCTGCCATGCCACCCGAAGGAAACACGAGGGCTGGGATACTGCCAGGTTGCCTAAGCCTAGACAGGGGAAGTCGAGATTCAGAGGTCGGGTTCGAACCACGGACCTTCCAGGCAGTAAATTAGCGCTCTAACCACTGAGCCATCTCGAAAGCCCGTCTAATTAACAGCCTTTATTTTTTGTACACTTGAGAAAGTAGGACAAGTGGTCATCGTTTGTATGCTTGGTTCGTTCTGCACTGATGTGTGCTGTCTGTCGGAAGCGAGGGCAGGGGACGCAAGTACTGTGATTAAAGCGACTTCCCCCTCCCTCTCTTCTAGGTTCTTGCTGGGCATATCGCTAGGCCACAAAGGATACATCAGACTGCAGTGCGAGCTGCTTAGTTGTACGGCTGCGAGAGTTGGCCACTTTTGGTGGATAGTCTGCGTCATCTTCAGGTCTTCGACCACCGATGTTCCATAACTACCCTGGAATCGTTTTGAACTAACGGGTTCGAAGGGGACGAGATGGCTCAAGTGGTTAGAGCGCGAATTTACTGACCGGAAGGTCTGTGGTTCGAACCTGACCTCTGCCTCTCGATTTTCTCTGTCTAGGCTTAGGCAACCCGACAGTATCCCAGTCTTCGTACTTCCTTCGGGTTGCATTGCAGCGAATATCGGCTAACCGTTTGTAATAGGGAGTGGCCGCTCCTCTTGTTTGACAATAACTGCTCTTGAGACCAGCTCGTTTGCATTGACGGTGGCGATTCTATTTGGGATATCCGGCTCTGCAGTAACGGCAGATCTTCCAAGCTTTTGGCAGGTTTCTTGTCTAGACATGAAGCAGGATGTGGTAGACCGGATCGAAGTGGACCAGGACGTAATGGCCCAACGTCTGCAGTAGAGTTCTGTATGGTGCGCACTTGAAAAACTTCATGGCCCCCAAGTTGAACCGTAGCAGTATCATAATCCAGGTTCAGCACCCATTGACGTCCAGTGGTCTCTGCTCGGAGGGCGATTGAGAGATCTTGCTCGACAAGTGTGAGAAGTTGCGTGTGAATTTCGACATCTTTTGTTGAAGACGCTGGCACGAATGATAAAGTCAAAGTGTTTCTTCACCTATTTAGGACACTAATAACGGATATTGAACAGCATTGTTTGTGTTGCCGAAAATCTGGAAGAGAATACGAACCGCTTCGGAGAGGTTTGGTGAACAATCGGTGAATTTATTGTTTACCAAACCTCTCTGAAACGATGACCTCCCAATCTGTCCCAAACATTTTCCAATTGATTGAATACGAACCTCTTCTTTCAAGAGACAGTCGCGTGGTTCTCGGGGAAGAGTAGTTAATGCACTTGTGCTCAGTGGAGCCGAGTTCGAGGAGGCCATGGTAGGTCTCAGAACAAGCCGTCATAGAGACAACCATGCATCAAACGTTACGCCAGTAGATGTGTCATGGTAGAGCTCGTTGATGCTGCTTTCGATTCCACCATCCGGTTGAAGAAAGCTCGACACAGCTGGGGGAGTCAAGGCCATAGCTAACGGCAGTTTATTAAAACTTTTCTAATCAGAGTTGTTCAACCATCAGTCCAACTTACTTCACTGCCATAACCTGGGCTATCAGCCACGTTCACCAAATTATTATTATGTCACCGAATATAAAATCTCCGATGATTGGCAGTTTCAGTTCGGTACTCTCTAGGAAACCCACCCTCCCTAACCGTGTTCGCCATCAGTGAACGCTGGAGTCTTTAAAATCTCGATGCTGGAATGGTTACGGACGAAATCCTTCTCAACTTAAATTATTGTTGGACGACTGGCGGTAAAGGTACCTCGAACCAATTGTATTGTTCTCCGCTTCGTTTTTCTTCTGTACTGGATCACATTAACTCCGCTTTTCTGTTTCAGCCATTTCACATGGTCTAAGACACCCATGCAGCAATGGATGTTGAGAGCCTCCGGAGTGGTCGGAGTGAGAAAAGTGACAGATCCCGAAAGTCCAAACGTGTACAGATGATCAACCATGGCACTCTTGGTGGTCATCAGTTAATGTCAGACGAACAGTTCAAACTCACCCAACGAAACCAAATCCCTCTTAGTAATCAAGGCCAACCTGTAGGAACACCCATGGATTCTGCGCTCCGTTCATACACACCGAACGTTCTCGCCCCGTCCGCTCAACAGCCCTGCTTGCAACCTAGACAGCAAACTCCTTACACTATGTACAACTGGGCTCCTCCACCTCCCTGTCCTAGTTATCCGAATTATCCACAACCCACACCATATACAACAATGGGATGGCCTAATCAGATGATGCCCACAGGATACCCCCAGCAGCTCAGCTCTCCTCCTTTCAATGGGACTACCTTGCCGGTGTCTCTTCAGCAACAGGGACCGCAACCAATGCAACAGGTTCAGACGATGCAACAGCCGACGAACTTCATCCCCATAAATCAACAGCCGACTGTATTACCATCTTTGACAAATCATGGTTCAACTGCTCAATCCGGGACGGGTAACACACAATCCCAACGATCTGAGTCCTATCGTGCCGAACAGTTTGAATCGCATCTTGGTAATCAGGATGATACGGCTTGGGTAGAAGATGCTACTGCCGTGACTGGAGCCACTAGTGAGACCGGTTTGAGTGGCGGAGACAATATGTCCCGCTTCGGTGCACGATTTGGACTTGCTGCCTCTCTGGGTCTGCAACAGGGTGGCGGAGGTGGCTATGGCGTCAGTGGCGCTGCAGCTGCCTTGATACGCACAGAGGCAGACGACATCAATGTCCTCACATGTTCACGCGTCCTTGGAGTACTCGCCTCCTCCTGTGTGGCATTGGGTGCCTTGTTGTCACCAGTGTTGATGCTTCTTCTGCCATACTTCCCTTTTGCAATCGGTTGGGGCACAGAATCCTGCAGGCCCACTTGTGAGGGTCATCTGGTTGGGATTTCAGTTAAACTGGCTCTTCTCTCTCTGGCCACATGGGTGATCAGTTCTCCCTGTCGTCCGTTATGTGCCGGTGGTTCTGCGATTCTTCCTCGCGTTCGGCTGTGTCGTACATTGTTTCTGTGTCTGGTATTCGTCGTATTATTCGCGTTCTGGCTTTTCTATACTGTGCGAATTCTTCAACCACGCGAAAAGGAGTTTTTATCCATCGTTTTATTCGCGGACAGTTTGACAGATACTTTATTGTTCTTGCACTATGCAGGCATTGGCCTGATGGAGTTACGGAAAGGGCGACACCGCTACGCTGTCCATATTGTCCGATCACCAGACGGCATGTCAAAGACAATGAAGTGCGGTGAGATGTCACTACAACGGGCTGCGATTGAAGTACTGCAGTTCTACATGGTCGAATTCACCGTAAGTTTTTTTACGTCACCTGTTTCGCCTCTTTCTTTTTTACTGATAGCATCAGTGATGAAGTGAAAGGCCTTTGGTTCGAACCCGACTCTAGCATCTTGACTGGTCCCGTTTAGGCTTGGGCAACCTGGCAGTATTTCTGCCCTCGTGCTTCCTTCGAGTGGCATGGCAGCTAGGAACCGAAAGGCTGTCATGGTTGCACGGCAATGGAGCATCAGTGTCAACACTTATTTTACTGACTCTGAAGATGATGATATAACTGAACGGTTATTTATTGATGAAATGCCATTGGTATGGGTGCGGGTGAGATGTAGAGCTATCGTTTCGACGGATCCCGAACTGAAGCTTTCAACCAAGAAACGAGCTTAACATTACTTTAACAACCGACTTCGTGGGTGTATTGAACATCCATTGCCCACGTACAATCGTCTGTAATAAGGTTTTCTCTGAACTTGGTCCACTGGTGTCGGTCGTAGACCCAGGAATCCAAGGGTTGTCTTTTCAAAGTCATCGGAGTCGACGTTTTCGGATTATGAGAACAATGAAGGCAGCGAACAATGCTTGTTTTCTGTGATTGTTCCTCTTGGCCAATACATCACAAAGTTACACAGTACCAGAGATCATGTGAAAAAGGCTGAAGTGTGAGGTACACACATTAGAGGCATATGAATCAAAAGAAGAAGGGTTGAATGAGGGGTGGTCAATGGGTCACGGAATCGAGTAAGTGACGTCAATACCAGACAGGTTTGCGGGACCGGATTTTTCGCGGGTTAGTTCAAGTTCAGAGTTCGCGCAAGCTTTTGGATGCAAGGTTGTGGATCCAGCAGTTGGATTCCAATCGACTCTGCGACCGATAGTAGTCTGGATCGTACCAGTCGTGATCGGTTCAGAGGTACCCGGTATACGATTGTGAAGGCTTGCTCTTTGGTCGGTTTCGGCCAACTGTGATGCATTCGCACTTGAGCCTGATTCCTTCCAACTACCACTCAAAGATACGGGATTGTGTTCTCGCATTCTCTCCGACCAACGTATGATGCTCGGCACGAGCATAAAAATGATGGATTAATTGCCAAAACCGCTTGATGCAAGAAATTCGATGGAACCGATCTTTTCATTGGTTACACGTTACCCCAGAGGGCGTCGCAGCTTGCTTCGGCCTGTGAGAGATCCTAACAACAAACAGACCATGACTGTCTGGCTTCGTTTTCGCGTTGCCTTTCAGGCTAAAAGCGATCGATTAGGTAACAGTCCTGTTAACATAATAGAGCAGTTGAAAAACATTTGCCTAATGTTTAGCGGTTCGGTGTCAAGACTCGGGCAAACTTCTGAAAGCGATCTTTACCCTTTTCAGCCTACGAAATTGTGTGGCCAGTTGACTTATCAACTTTAATCTCAGTAGACGCTTTCACCACTCGGAAACACGAGATTACGGAGAAGAGTGAGCTCTAAAGTACAGAAATTCAAAACATGAAGACAACACTGAATAAAAAATTCAGGATTTCAAACTTCCTTCATCTCGTGATTTGATGGTAGGAGGAGGTTTGAGGTTCGAGGGTTGAATTTTCCATAACTGGACCTTGCCTGATAAGGCATGAAAATGAGCGGTATTCAGTCGGATCAGGAGGGCCAGTTTCTTATATTCAGAGACTGATTTCGTGAGGACTAGTGGAGTTCTGGAAACGATAGTGCTTGAAAACTACCAACGTGATTGAGTTCTCTGTTTATGATGGTCACACTTCATTTCAAAATCACGACCTAGTCCCCTGCAGATTGTCTCCACTCCGTGTATGGTTAAACGAGTGACCGTGTGAGGCAGACGGTAGTTTGGTATTTTGGGCTGGATCGACCGTAATTTGTGGAGTGGCATGTTCGTGCGTTCTCTTTCAGTACTATGGACTGGTTGTTTGCACCCTAAGCTAGCGCTTCTTCAAAAGTATCGGTTGTTAAACACTGTTTTCTAATCTGCTTGAACCGACCAGATTTATGATCGTACGAAGTGCACTTCAACTCCTGATGACCTGTTGCAGGTTAGTATCAGAAGAAATTCCATCTTTGGTCGAACCACCGGGATTAGTACATCGTTATGAATGAATCCGACCCCCTGCTTGCGTTGAGATCTGTCTTCTATTCGTCTTAAGTTTCCTCGAAACTGAAAGTAATTTAGCAAGATTGTCGGTCGCATTGGTTCATTGACGCTACGGATGGTGATGATGACGTTCGCTTTCAATTCACCGGTTATGAGCATTGAAAATTTTCTAACATTCGGTAGTTATAGGATACCAAACTCTTCGAAAACCTGACTTGAGCTGAGTATACTGCTGGTTGAATTCGCTAAGATAAACGATGAACAGAAGGCTGTCTACAGTTTTTAAAAGGGATAGTATGGGACGATTGCTACTGGTTTCGTCCTGTTTGGGGTTGATCAGGTAGACGTGTGTCCTGGAGACCGAGATACTCGGTTCTTGACTTGAGCAGCGTTTCGGTCGATTCTTTACTTTTGACTTCATATGCATACATTCGTTCAGGATAATTTGCCAAGTGGGGAACTGTTGGCACATCAGCGGGTATACTGGGCTAAACCAATACAGTATTCGCTGTTAGACCGAGTAGTTCACTTGTCCCCTGCATAAAATTTCCATTTTGATTGGACATTCGTTGAGGTTTTGTCAAGGCGGAGCCCCTACTGAACAACGAGAGTTATACGTGCGTGGAATGTAAGTGTTGGCAACGAATGGAAGTAAACCATCCGTTTTTGTCCATGCACATTGAAAAACTACCATCCACTGATCCATCACATTAATCCAAGATGCTTGTGGCGGATGTCCTGCGTGAAAACGCAGTAGTGATTAGGTGGACCATGTGCACATATCACCTCGAATCGAAACTTTGCTAAACGGAGCTACAATAGTCGGCACTGTTGCATCACACCAGCTAAAGAAACTGTCATATTGTTGAGGTAGTGTGGTTTAGTTGCTCTGCGAAAACCCACGTCTTATGAAACATGTATTTCCAACGACAGCTTTTCACATTAACCGGTGATTTCGAGGCGAGAGTTGGGTTGATCACCGCGTAGCTTTTATTCTGCAGACCAGTCTTCAGGAACTGTTTGATTTCTTTGTTTTACATTAAACGTTTTACATTAAACATCCAAGCTTCTCCCCATACTTGCCTTATTTTGTAATCAGACAGCAATTTGGAGTGCATTCGGCACTGCAAGCCAAGGCGGTTGGGCCATGTGTCGCGCATGCGGACTTGAGGGAATCTAGAGTTGAATAGAATATGAAATAGAGTGGAATGAGAAATGTTACGAAAATAATGGTACTGTTTGTGCTATTCGACTTCCAGAATGGGGCCCACATGACACTCGCTGTGCATGTTGGGATACACTGAATGATGTGGCGGCCAACCGAGCTCAGTGGCGTTCATGCTGTCAGTTTCTACCAACATTGTGTTGGGGGCGTAGGCAGCTTACCTGTTTGTTGTAAGCTAACCCTAGGTCTCCCCTTGCCCCTTTTCTTTATTATAAGGCTTTGTCTAAATAAACGTGGTTTTACGACAGTGAAGTGCTGATTTCCTCATCCGGTGTTGCTGTCAATGATGATAGTAACTCTCGGGGCTCTGGAACGTCGATAAAGGTTTTTTTTCAGATTGTCGCAAATACTTTAAGTGTCTCTCGTTTAGGATTTGCTCCTGAACACACCGGATGATTTTCCCTCCACTCGGAGCGCATGTGCTTCTTCAATCTTTCCATTTCTATATCGGACCTCATTTTCTAAAGAGTGCCATGGATAATGGAGAGCGACTACTTTATTTGTTTGCTGATCACCGCCTGTTCCTGGCCAGTACATACTCCCAGCACAAACGCTCATATCGAGTTACTTGGAGGCCACCAACCGCAAGACAGTCATGGACCCAGTTAGGCCATGTGGCTACCAATTGCCGATGAACCCCGACTAAAAACCACTGTTCCTTCTGGCGTACGCAACTTGACTCCACTCTTGTCATTATGCGGGCACGGTTTTGAGTTCACTTTCGGTCATCATTACGCGCGCCAAACCAGAGCAATTGCATTGATCAACTTCGACAAGTCTCAGTAGTTCAGGAGTATCAAGCTGACCTGGCATGAAAGCTAGTGGAAACGCATAGTCATGACGAAGATTGTTCAGAAATTGAATGGAAGCGAGTTGAAGAACAGTTGAACAGTCTATCCAAGCCACCTGACCCGACTACAGGTGAACGGGATATCGTCGGGATCAGCAGATCATATTGCTGCCAAAAAGCCCATACCAGCAACGACTGGCTATGATGACGCATTCAGACCAGCAGCAGGACGATGCTTGAGTAGGGAAATACACTCGGACACTTCTGAGGCTGATGGTGCCTCCATATTCACGGTCCACCTTTCTAATTAAGGACAGGATTCTGGATTGGAGGTAGCAGGTGACCAGCTGGATTGCTGCTCAAAGTACTGTGTCCAGCTGTCCAAATATTCTGCTTTGCCGTATATCAGGGAACCATTTTGGTCCCTGATTATTTCACTGACAAGAGGTTTCCGAGAACCAGTCGGACGAATCAAGTGGACAGCTTGCGGAGGTTTCCAGCATTGTTTGCATCTTCCATTTCTTCGGTCTTTCGGATCTATTGCCGGATCTCCAATAAAGACATGGTCCTATCAGATATCCAGTGTTTGGATGAGGTTGACTGAGTCGTACCGCAAACAGACGTTCCGTCTTTCGTAGTGCTCTGGATATCCCTCCCCAGTGGCCGTTTATATCCGACATCGTGCCATCTGGCAGGAGTTCGAGGAGCTGGTTCTGACAAGTTCGTTTGACTTCTGGGTCCGTCAGCTTTTTAGTGGCTAAGCGAGGTGTGCGCGTTTTGCGTACACCTGAAAAGCGCAATGAAAAGCAACAGCGTAAAAGTGCATGGTTGGAGTCCACGCTGGTGTCCCAGAAGGAGCGGCAGGCGGTGATCGACCCTCGCCACCGATAACTGACGGTGACGTGGTCTATTTGGATTCAGTGCTGCTTCCTTGGTGGGCACCACGTTGCCAAGCGATTTCCGCTGTTCCGGAAGTTCGTACTGTAAAGGAACACTCGGTGATAGGCACACATGTGAAGTAAGCGATCTCCGTTGTCCGTGCGTCTCGTGTCCAATCCAAGATGACCACCCAATCGGGCCTGGGTAGCGTTTAGTCTACCTACCTGGGCGTTCATGTCGCCGGCAACCACAACGATATATGAGCTTATAGTCTGCTGTAGAAGGGCATCTAGAACGTCACAGAAACTGTCCTTGGCAGCTTCAGAGCCACAGTCAGTTGGGGCGTAAGCAGTCTCAACAAACACGGTGCGATGGACCTCCTTTCCTCTAGACTCTCTCACAGATGTTGCCAAACGAACCTCACAGAGCCGACTATTAACGGGTACCCAATCAAGCAGACACCCTTCCGCTCGGTCGTTCTATACAATATCCATCCCAACATATCCAGTTGCAGCGGTCTGTGCATCACCAGAGTTGCTCAGTAGGAAACTGGAAGAGAGTGAGGGGGCAGTCGGTTTGATCACAGTACTTGCGTCCTGCATCCTTTTTTCTGACAGACAACATATATCAATACAGAAGGAATCCAGCGTACGAGCAAGATCCACCTGTTGACCTGCTTGCTTCAGTGTCCGAACATTAAAGGTGAGCGAAACGGTACGGAAGGACGATTAGGGTCCTCAACCAAAGCCTTTGGTTTAAAATCCTAACCGCAAGGCAGCGGTGTTGGACTGGAAATGCAAGTACACTGCCATTTTTACGGAACATGTCACCACACATGTTCCGACCCCCAAGCTGGAGGGCTAGGAGACTGTGTTCGTCAGACCTCTACCCATGGACCAACCTGGTATGAGAGACTGTGAGTGTCGCGCGGGCACCCCCGCCCCAATAGGCCTCCGGGGTACACAAACCGCCACACCAAGGTAAGGTCCAATCCAAAGGCCACCCTGAGATATGACATCCTCGTGACAAATTACTTGGCCGGGATGGTCTGTACCTCAAACTTTTCAAAGAGGGTGGTGAGATCCTGGTGAACAGTTTGACCGCCGTACTGCAGAAGAATTAAAACGAAAACAGAATACCAAATGAGTGGAGCTCTTTGACCGTCATCCCAATCTTCAAAAAGGACACAAGGATGTCATGCGAAAACAATCGTAGCGTCAGCCTGGTGTCCGTCGCATCTAAGATACTCTCTGACATTGTTTTGCACAAATTATCGGGCGAGACAAGTTTGTGGGAATCACGCTGGGTTTCGCCCTGACCGAGAACGCATCAACCGTAACTTTACATTGAGATGGGTTCCAGAACATTCTCCCTCTTTCAATCATCCGCCTTGGTCGTTTTCCTCGTTCTGAAAGTTGTGTTTCACTCTGAGGACGGTCAGGAACTTTGGCGGTGTCTGGCGATCATGGGTGTCCCTTCCAGGTTTATATTCATTATGATGGCACTGTATGCGAACCCCTGTGGACGCGCAGGAGCCTGGGTTCCCGACATCCAGCGGTGTAAGACAAGGCTGCCCTGTCTCACCTTTCCTCTTCAACTTTCTTACTGACGTGCTGCTTGACATTTCTCTGTCTGCTTGCGAAACGTTTGGGGTCGAAATGCTTCTGGGACGTTCGCTCACGGATATTAAGTGTGCAGACGATATTGCTCCCCTTGGTTCAGATCACTAAAAAATGCTAGGTATTTTAAATAACCTAAATAATTCCTCCGCACTTGCGAACTGTAAATTTCTGCTACGTGACTGGGTTGGATCAAACCCACACCTCATTCTTGCAAGCGAACCTGTCGACGTGGTAGACAAATTTGTCTGTTCAGCTGTACAATTCCCAGTAGACTAACTGCAGACGAGATTACCTCTCTAGTCGAGAAGACTAGGACAGCTTTTGCCAACCTGTGGCACCCATGGCGCCTACGTGACATCGCTTTGTCTGTTGAGGGCACTGCGGCAGCGACATCCGTACTACTTGATGGATCGGAAACGTGATTTCTACATGCATAAGACAAACGATGGCCTCCAGTGTTCGATCTTCGGTGTCTCGGAAGTATTGGTCAGGTCTGGTGGGAGCATCAGATTACTAATACTGAGGTACGCCAGATGGTTTTCGGAAGAAGGAACTCTCCCACAATAGATGAATTACTCACATTTAATGAGTTACATCGGTTAAGACGTGTACTTCGCATGCCAGAAAACCTTCTACCTCGCAAAGCTCTTTTCGCCCAGTCTCGCGCTAAGTGGAAGCGACCGGGAGGTGGAAAGTATACTACCTCACAACGAAGTATAAATATACTGACCAGTAAACTGAATCGGGTCGACAACTGCCGCCTCTCTAGATGGGGACTCTGGGACTCAACTCACTAATGGTTAGTGTCACTGACAGAAATAGCCTAATCGCGCAGTCAGTGGTGCTCTTCTAGCGAAGCTATCGCCTCCAGTGCGTAGCGACCCAGTCGCTGAACTAACCGGACGTATCATCGCTTCCAATGCTTGGCTGTATATCCCACGCTGTTCCGCTTTCCTGTGATCTAAACTGTAGTAGCTACAACCAACATACCAATGTTACATGGTTTATAGCTGTTGAATTTACTTGCTCAAATGAATGCACCTTTCCCAAGCGCGACTGCACTTGGTTAACGACAAGTGTCGACAATAAGCTTGCTCGCGGTATTCTATTTCTGCGGATGGAATATCGTTTGGTGACTTTTAGAGAAGATAATTAGATAGTCCTGAGAAGTCCAGTCCGAATTCCCCTCTGTCACCCCTGTTTTAAGCCTGTGTTTGTCCTGTATTTCTTTTCTGCATTGCGGTATACGGTTTTATCAGTTGGTCACGGCTACAGACCAAGTTGGTCCCTGTCGTTACGGTTTCATTCACGAAGCATAGCGCGGATAGGAACGGTGCTGGAGTTACTGACCGAACAAGTTTGATATGTTGTACTTTTTCAACTTTTCAAATGAAGTGAGGCTTTGCACAAGCCCGTACTGGATGTGAAAGTTTTGTCTGTCCAAGTATACATGATTGCGTCGTGTTGTGTCGTGTCGTCTCTCCAGTTTCGCATTCCCAGATACGAAGCTCGCCAACCCCACCTGGTTTTTAGTTAAGTATTCCGTACTTCGTAACCACGTCATGAAAAAAAAACGGCTGTTTTGTGCTAGCCCCTCCAAACGCGTCGGTGTTAACCAGGCGTCTGTATTTGCATTGCGCTTTTGTCTTCTTTTTTTGTTTTATCTGAAATTTAGCTCCTTACCGCTTGTTTGTTTTTGCACCGTTATTTCAGTTGGTTCATAACACTCCAATCGTGCTTGCTTAATTCTATCAAGTTTTGTGTCCATGGGTTGAACGGGAAGTGTTGATTGCAGATCGCCCTTTAAGTGATTACTAAATCTTCTTGTTGCATCGACTTCATTTGTTGTCTTTACCCCGTCTATCCAGGCATATACACCGGGACAATCAAATGGTGGTAACGCCGGTGGGGGAAAGCGTGGGCGCCGCGGAGGGGCTTCGAACGACTCAGGACCGGGAACCAATGGTGGTGGTGGGTCCAAGTACAAGTTTTACGATGTCGACGGTGGTGGTTTGGAAAAATCGGCGCCTGGCTACACCATTGGCGGTGGTCATTCGAACACCAACAACACTGGGAATACACCCAGTGCTTCAGCACGTTTGTTCGAAGAACTTGAGCTGGAAAAGCGAACTCGCAAGCGACGGATGCGTTTGTTGCTGGCCGTGGAAGAGGCGTTTACCCACGTTCGCCGTCTGGCAACGGAGAATTATGCTGCTTCTAATCCTGGGCAGGCTACCGTCCCTCTCCTCCCCCAAAGTGAGTAAGGTATTTTTTGAATACTCGTGGTGATTATAGCGGATGACGTTTTTTGTGAGTCGAGACTTGACCGTCGCATGACCCACTTGATTTCCATCTCTCATTTATCGGGCATTTCATAGACCATCAGCAGGTCTTTGACATCATCGCCGTCCCTTAGCAACTGTATACTCATCATCCTTGTTGACAGCAATTTCTACCATCTTATTGGCGGCCTTTCAGTCGTGGAAAACCTGAGAGCTTCAAAGCCAGTATGTACGACTCCATAGCTGGTTATCACCTGAGTATTCATCCTGACCATTGCCGGCTTGGTTTGTGAGTGGCCAGTCTCCCTGAGTTAATGTGTCGGTTAACAGACTTGACAGAACAAAATCGTTCAGCTGTAGCACCCTTTCGACGTCTAACTGCCATGCCACCAGAAGAAAACACGGGGGTTGGGACACTGCCAGGTTGCATAAGCCTAGACAGGGGAAGTCGAGAGGCAGAAATCGGGTTGGGACCTCGGACCTCGCGGTCAGTAAATTCGCGCTGACTTCGGCCACTTGGACCATCTCGCCCCCAACTTCACGTAGACAGGGAAGTCGAGAGGCAGAAATCGGGTTGGGACCTCGGACCTCGCGGTCAGTAAATTCGCGCTGACTTCGGCCACTTGGACCATCTCGCCCCCAACTTCACAGAAAGCAATTTAGTGAAACCAAAGCTTATTTCTCTTTCACGTCAACGTTATCGTGGGGGCTATAATGGGAATGGGATTGAATCCATGTTCCGAAAACTGTGATTACACATCTTATGAGGATCGTCACCGTCGTCCTAGGTGTTCGGGACCCCTGCATGATTGCTGGATTTTGGCAGGAGACTATGTGTGCTGGGTTGCCGACCGGGTTTATAGACTTTCAAGTCGAGGTTGCAACCTGGATTGCGAGCGTTTATTCACTAGTTGACGCAATATCTCCACTATGTTGTTGGCTATGCCTCCGTACTCGACAGTTAGCGACCGCAAGCCAGTTGTATCAAAAACGGTTTAGTGTGTACGAGTATGCCCACGGATGAAAGAAAAGATTTAACAGTTGAATTATCATTTTACGCCTGTCTCCGAAACAACAAGACCTGCTCCTCAACTTATTTGGAAGTGGCGATATGGGTCCCCAAAATGGTGGTCCACGCCCTTAGCCCTTAGCCGACTACCTGCTTGAAGTGCGAATATTGTGACAAAATGGTGGTCCACGCCCTTAGCCGACTACCTGCTTGAAGTGCGAATATTGTGGGTAACGCCACATTCCAACTGTCTAGCCCCTTGACTGTTGATCTGTTTACCACACTTGGCAATTACCTTGCAAATATTTCGTCATCAAAAGCGAAGACATTATCATTGCGTGGTTGGGTGGGTTGCTGATGATGTCTCTTCGTTTGGTGAATAGAAGTTCGCAATTCAATTGCCGAACTTGGCGAATAGATCAACAACCAATAAACGCACCCTAGCTTCAAACTTGTCGACACATTGTATAATCCCTGCCTCTCGCCATCATCAAGGGGCATATACTCAGTGGCTGCGCTGCGTTCTCTGAACACGTGACTTCGCCTCTTCGTTGACCAATCACATGTAAGATGTTGCTTCTACAGTGTAGAGAAATAGCGTCGCTTGATCAACGAGACTATATCCGGACAGGTACGAAACTTTAGCGGTAAGTTCTACCAATATCGGGTTCTGGATAGGAGTCCCAAAGTGATGCGTGCCCTCAAGGGACGTCTTGGTCGCATTCTCAGTTAGAAAGCAATTTGATGGCTGTTCGTTTTACCCAGCCATTTGAGTTTCATAACCGTAATTTTGGTAACATTGGACAGCACCACATTCGCCTCTTCTATCCGCCCAACTGTTATCTTCCATACGTTCTCCTCACTGAATTTTTGACTTGGTTATTTTCAACTTTTACATCCTGTAGCTTCAGAAACACCGATGAAAGTCCTGGACGTATTCGTAGGTTTGTACAGTATTCTACCACTTTATGAGTGCTACCGTTGCGAAGTTTGAAAATTTCTCTCGGGGAGCAGAAAGCCTCTATTGACTGAACTTGATTAACCAACAAAGGACTGGCGCCCGATCGAATATCACTGGACGCCTGTGCATAACTAGGGGAGTCACAGATGGTTTGCGCGGAGCCAGGTGCGACACTGCCCTTGGAGTCGATGCAGATCCAAAAGAATGAGATTGGCAGGTGGACATGCACAGGTCTGTTGTGACAAAGGATGTGAATATTGAACCGGAACATTGGGCGGTCACGAGGACCCCAAGTTTGTCAACGAAATAATATAGTTGCCACGACATTTTTAAAGAATTCGCACCATGTTGCGCTTTCTGCCCGGCAAATTCATGATGTACTATGAATTCTCGCCCGACTGACACTTCTGAGTCATAATCTCATCGCTAACTTTTACATGGCCCATTTTTTGTGACGGCCGCTAGAAGCCTAAAAACATCAAAGTAGTCTGTGATGTTGACTTTCAAGGAGGGTGTCCACTTTTTCTGCATAATCTACCACGTAGCCTTAAAATACCGTAAGAGCCGGCAAATCGTCTGGCTACTTCAGTGTAGACGGTTGCCAGCAGGAACGGTTTCGAATCATGGGGTTAACAGAAATTGACACCAAGCGCCTAACTTTCCTAGAATTTGACATTGCCGATGACGTATTGAAACGCTGTTTTAGAGATGAGACCTGAAGTTCAACAAGCTCCTTACGTCAAATGCCGGTGGAAATGTTTTTGTGTGTGGGGGGTTTTGACCCGTGAAACCAATCTATGTTGAAGAACCGAACACTGTACACTTTTGAGAATCATTTTTGATGCTCGTCTAGTGAGTTCCCTGGGCGTTTCCAACTTTGTTTGGTGATTAAACGCAGTACGATTTCGCCACGCGCAGCTGACTAACCGTGCGTTTAACTCGACTCAGGCAGAACATAGATCATTCAATCCTCCGATCCGGTGGTACCTGGCTGTCCTCATCTCCTGGATAACACAAACTCTGTGATCATATACTGGTCGTATAATTCTGCCTTTTTCGGCACCTTCATTCGCAGGATGAAATTTCGATGCGAACCCTCACAGTTTTTCACTACCTACAGATTACCGTGTTAGCTTGAAGCTCGCACACTTATGAATGTGGTTTTCATCGGAACAAACTTTCGACAACAATGATTTCATCAGAGTCGACGTTTCAACACAGCTTGTCATGACGGGAATATTTTAGAAGAATATGATTGTCAAACGTAGTCCATGTGAATCATTTGTGATGAATGATTGGCTCACTGATGCTGGTTTGTTTTGAAATAAGTGATGTTGAATATTGACAGCCCATGTTATCACATCAGTGACAATCCTAGTGCATATTTTGTTAGCTCGCCAACCGACTACCGTAGGGCATGTAATTGCAGTTCGTTGTTCGTCTCCACAACTGGCTCTCCGGTTTGCGCTTCATCTAACTCACTCAAAAATCCTTTGCACCCTTACCATTTCCTGGTCTTTCGCTGACACCCCATTTCTCCTCCAACTTCAGGCAATGGGCTCGCATTTAAAGGAAAACAAACCGCCGAGAAATCACTAGATCCGTACGAAGCTGCCCAGGCTGTTTTTCCCACCCTCATCCGACCATTACAAAAGTACATGCGTGTCACACGTCAACAGGCGCGCCATCCGGTGGACATGGTGATCGATCACCTGGCCTTGTGTCTGGCCTACGGGCTATCCCCACAAGCATTTCTCGAACGTTTCAACCCGTTGGCAGCCACTCCGCAGATGGATGCTGCAGCTGCTGCCACGTCCATAATGACAGCCAAGCGCGATCGAAAGCAGCGCCTAACAAACCAGCAACAGCTGCAGCAACAAACACCAACTGCGGGTGGTGTAGCAGACACTGGTCCATTATTGCCCAAACGTGTGCATCCTGGAGGTCAGCAGTCCTGGAGCATTGTAGCCGATCGCGCTCTGTCACGCAGTCTCGCTGATGGTGCAATCTTCCAACTTAGACGTGGCAATGATATATCACTGCTCTGTACCGTTCGCCGTCTACCCCTGATCCGGTTGATTGAAGAGGTCCTCGAACCACTCGAAGTAGGCAGGTTCACGTTGAATACCAACAATGCGGTATGAACCTGTCGTCAGGTTTAGTGGAGCCTCAGGCCTTCTCCCTTCCCGTTCACTCATAGCTAATCCAGGCTTGTATCATTTAACGCTTTTTGGCCGGCCCTCCATCTATCTTCGGAATTTAGTAGACTCAAATTTTTCCAGTTCTTACCCATCTGTTTACTCCACTCAAAAATACATCCAAATATTACTAAATCTCATCTTTTTGTACATCCGACTGGTTCCACCCTGTTTTTTTATATATATCACACCATAATTGCTGCATAGACAGTCTGTTTAGGTTGGTCATCTGGGCATTTTTTGCAAGGTAATTTCATGCTTCCCGCAATTGTTTTCCTATCAGTGAACCGATTGTTTCTGCATTTTTGGGTCCTACGTGACGTCTTGCATAGACAGTCTGTTTAGGTTGGTCATCTGGGCATTTTTTGCAAGGTAATTTCATGCTTCCCGCAATTGTTTTCCTATCAGTGAACCGATTGTTTCTGCATTTTTGGGTCCTACGTGACGTCTGTGCATTTGCTTCGTTCCTTCCTTCCGACAACGACAGTTTATGTTTACCGAGTTGCTGTTGTCATCCGTTCGATCGTTTTTTCATGTCTAGCCCCGGTCAGTTTTGCCCCTCTTATTTGACAACCGGTTGACCGATCGATAAATTTTCACTTCTGGTTGATCGCCAATGTCACTCGGATTTTTAAATCGTTCCATCATTCTTGTGAGTTGTAATTTCCCCTCCCCCCACACACACACACAGCCGTGTTTAATTTCAGTTCGATCTGTATGTCGAACTGCGTTTAGGTCAGTTGACAGTGTTTCTTCGAAACTATCCGTGTTTGACACTCAACTTGTTGACTGTTTAACTGCCCGATGTGCAATGGTTAATTTTTATCCTAATTTCATGAGTGCATGATGCCACCACTTTGTTTGTTCTGATGAATGGGTGTGCTCCTGGCGATTAGTGTTCTCTGTAGGCTCGCAAAAAGTGTGTTTGTCTTTTGGCGTGTGCGATGAATCTTGCGCGGCTGACAACTATGAGGACAATGACACCGCAGTCATGAATTGTCAGAACTTACTTGAACCTAGGGAAGATACACTCATTTGCAAACTAATTTGGTTTTTCGAGAGACTCATTTGAAACCCAGCTGAATCTCTCGTTTGTGATGTTCTCAGGCAAATGAGTGTATATTCGCTAATTTCGTGCGATTTGGTTTCAAGTGGAACATAAGGTTGACTTAAACCTGGGGACTGCGCCTGATGATCCCCAAAAAGGGCGAAACCGGTCGTGGGCTGTCGAGAGATTTTCAGCAATCTTATGAGTAGTACATTACTTGAACCTACTCTGCTAAGAGACTAAATTCGACACTTTGTCGAACCTGCTACAGAATTTGTCGGTCGTTGTGAGTGAACGTGTGAATTTATTATCAAAGACGTTTCTTTGGTGAACCGTTTTCCAGTAACCGTGAGATCCGGGCTGACGGAGTGTATTAGATGAATCTGATGACTGGTGTTCGAGGGCCTTTAGAAAACCAAACGGTCACGTTAGCCTGCGAATACGACTCCCTTGGAGGATCACAGCTAGGCGAATGCTGGCTTATGAGGATAAGTCAGGCACAAACTAATAGGGAATGTCGGAAGTTATCGATCCACATAAATGTACATAAATGTAGATATAGACATTTTAGGTAGATACATTGTCAGGCACAAACTAATAGGGAATATCGGAAGTTATCGATCCACAAGTGTCAAAACGAATGTTTGCAGTACATAAATGTAGATATAGACATTTTAGGTGGATACATTATCCCAGGGGACGTCCAGAGACGGACAAGAGTGCCTGGCCTCTAAATTCGCTCTTTGGACCTGTTTTTAATGGTAGACAAAGCCGCACATTACAACAATTGTACTACTCTGAGTGAGTAAAAGTGGGTTCGCTTACGGCGGTTTGTCGAGATTTCGTTTGGCTAGCCGTTTTGAAGCTCTTACGGATAAAACTTGTTTGCTTACTGTTGGGCTAGTTGTGATTTACCTACCTTGTTCTTGCTAGGGTGCACAGTGTTTCGGACGAAGTAACTGACTTTGAAACAGTCGTGTCTGCGATCGTGACGTCCGTTTCTAAAAGCGATCTTCACTGGTCGGCTGTCAACAATCCAATTGTGTGCCATTTCAGCTGAGTCCCTTTACCAACTTGTCCCTCCTTAGCTCACCGTCAAAACTCCCTTCCCTCTAACCTTATTCCACCGAATCCAGTTCAGCTCTAATTGGTGGGCGGGGGAAATATGAACTGCCTGGACTGGTTTTAGCGTCTGAAGACAGGCTACCGTGCGCCAGGAGGGCGTGCGTAACCGCTTTTAGAATTGGATATATTTCATATAGGTGAGCAGTTACTGGTCACTGCATAGGGTTTGGCTGCCACGGTTTAGAGTGCACCCTTTCAGGACGTAGAATCAAAGGGTACTGTGTACCTTTTTACTCCAAATCATAGGCTCGGTGTTTCCACCTTTCCCAAACTAAATTTCAAGTTTTAATTACCTCCGTGTGCACCAAAACTGCACGTATGCTACGACAAATGCGCATACCAAGAATACTAAATCAGGTAACTATGGCCAATTTCTGTTCTCATCCCGTCAATGTTTACGTGTACAAGATGGGCGACAATTCGAACTAGGTGAGCTCTCCAGCCATCATGGTGAGTAGAAGAACATAGCACTGATGCTTAGAGAACCAGTAGACCGTCCTAGCTGGACCGGTTTTATGAGGGGGCGCAAAGCGTGAAGAGTCTCCGGGATATGAGGCGGCTAACGGTTTTGACGGCCTCGTAAATTCCCAGGGATCGGTCAGGCGCTATTTTGGTTTACACCAGAAACGTGTAGCCACCAACCCCCCTTACGAGCATGATGAAAATGAATTGAGCTGATTTCTTGGTCCAAATTATGCGTTTAAATTTGTCGGAATTTTCGATTGCTTAAGAGCACTCAGGGGTTATTCACAGCTTTTCGCGACCCTTTTGGAGGACCTCACCGAACTCATGAACCTGGATTCGAAGGCGTCCACACTAAACCAAAAGGTCAGTCTGCGCGCAGTTGTAATTGGTAGCTCTCACAGGGCTGTGTTTAACGGTTAAAAATGCCAACTAAGGGAGCACCTGGCCAATCTCAGTACATTCACCTGCTGAGAACTGTGCGATGGACTGCCTTTTAGGACTAATTTTATCCTGCTCTGTATTTGGCACGTCCAAGTTTATTAGCTTACTAGCTATCAGGTCCTCCACGATAATTGCGAGAGTTGAGAGTAACACTCGACCGCTCAAGTAGTCTGCTTTCAGTGCAGGGTCCAAATTGTGGGATCAATCTGATTACTGGGTCGTTTTTCGATGGGTAGGGCACACGAATCACATCGCTCAAGTGTGAACACGTTCGCCTGTTCAAACATGAAAAATTAGACGCGTCTAACGTGTGTTGGTGAGGTGGTGGTTACACGCTCGCCTCGCATGTCAGATGTCCGGGGTTCAAATCCCGGCACTGCTGATGAGCTCTAATACGGGCGAAACTCGAGTCCAGTACTTCCCCTTCGTGTGGACTCACCGGAATAATTAAACCAGAACAGGGGTGCGACCGTTCAAACAAGAGTGGTGTGGCTATGAACAATCTGATTAAGTTTCTACGATGCTAAGTGATGAGGATTTGTGCACGCACAAATAATGTCCTCACGGGAACGAAAGAATGCGATCCGCGGAATACACTCATTCGCAGAAAGTTTGGATGCTGTCGAGAGAGTGAACTGAAACTCACGTTAATGATACTCCCCAACTGAATATGTTACACAAAAGCTGCCTCGTATTTCAGTTGGCACACTATTCGAGAGAAATCATAGTGTTTTATCGGATTAGTGTACACCTTGTACTGTTTTCAGCGGCCTTATGAGTAGCACGTCCCGTCAAGGACAAATCCAATGTTTTGCCAAAGTTCAAACCAACACGTGAACACGTCTGTCAGAATACAGAACTATCCGTTTGCGGAAGCTATGCAGGTGCGTTTGCCAGCAAATGCAACAACACCAGACTGTAGTAGTTTTGTTAACTATCTCCTCGTTTCAACATGCATTTGCTTGTTCCCTTTTCCATTTCAGTCGGGCTTTGTGTGTTCGTCAAACAAGTTCACTCTTGCGTAGCACGATTTCCGATGTGAATAAAGCCTACTAGGCGGTGCAAACGGAACGGCCGACTGTCACTTTTAGTGTCATTCATTTTCTTCTATGAATGGCCAATGCGAGCTATGGAACCTCTACACTATACCAGACGGCACTCTATGCACCGGACAACTGCTGTATGAGCTCTTTGGTTTTTCGAGTAAGGTCTTGTTCACAGAAGGGACAAACCTGGCCTTCAGAACTGGGAAGACCAGTTTCAGTTCAGTTTCATTCTTGAACAGCCTAGCCATTCCACGGGAACGATTGTGGTAATTAACTGTCTGTTTTCCTGCACAGCGGGAGATTTCGTCCCTTCAATGAAGCCAATCAATGCTGAACAGACGAGAAGCACTTTACAGCTGTTCCATCCTCGATTATACTCATCAGCAGTTCACCAGCAAGAAAAACCATGAAGTTTCAAACATGTGACCTTTCGGCCGGCGGTCGAACTTTTAACCTTTGGCCACGAGTAGCTGCTCAGCAATGTGATTAGTTGTCACGGGACATAGCAGTCAAGACTTGGCCCATTGACGCCATTCAGCGTATTCCGTGTTTGCTACACAACCAACGACTGTTCAGTATTATCTCGACATATGTGTTGGCCTGTGTCGACCTTGCTAGATGGATGTGCGCTTTCTAAAACCAAGTCGGGTGATTTCACAGATACCGTAGTTATGATGATCTAGCTCGATAGAATGTGCTGGTGCACGTCAATGTATTGAGAAGGGGAACATTTTACATATCATTTGAGAAGCCATCGCTTGATGGATCATGCAACAGTTGATCGAAACACATGAACTAAGTGATTGGAATAGGTTGACTTGATTCTCGAGAAATACGCTCATTTGCAAATCAATTTGGTTTTCACGAGAGACTCAACTGAATCTCTCGTTTATGATATTCTACAACTGAATGTGCTGCACACAGGCCGCCTCGTGTAGAACATAAGGTTGACGGAAACTCGGGGACTGCGCCTACATGATGAATCCCAAGAAGGGTGAAACCGGTCGTGGGCTGTCGAAGAACTTTCAGCAACTTTATGAGTAGTGCGTTATGACTATGCATGGATTCTGTTTAAGCCACCGGTGGCTGAAAGATCACAAAGTTCTTGAGATGTGCACTACTGATTAATCTCAGCGAAATAATTGCACCATGCATACCGGATTTTGCTGTTATGCCTTAGTTCTAAGTATTCTGAAACAAACTTTATCAAGTATAGCTAGAAAGTTCGGAGGAGTCGAATGGCTCACAAGTACGTCAAAGAGTATACAGGAAGTGTCCTTAAGAGCCTACCACCAGCTTCGGACAAGTGATTTATCGCTATCCACACTATCCAGTTACATTACTGCCCGAGCCATAGAATCGTATAATATTTGGCGAGGTGCTCGGCCTAAAATAGGTTTTCAATTGCATGTACAGGTCTATTGAAGTGCTACTCCCAGCAACGGATTGCTTTCAGCGTTCTGGTCACAGTCACACTATTTTAGTTGAAGGAAAACAAACCAGGCACTTTTCACATTAGGCGTCACATGTGAAAATGTGCGGTTCATCTGTGCAGTGTCCCTTGTGATTTGTAACCAATCTGACGGAACCATGTCGTAAATAATTCACGAACATATGGTCTGGTGCATAGATTTCACGTTCTTATTGTCGATAAGTTGACCAGATTCCCACTGTGGTGGGTGATCGTAACGAGGCCTACTCGAGTCTTGATGGTCTGC